GGGGATATGGTTTACGGGTGTATGTGAACTGGACAATTTAACTTCTTGAGTGGTATTATTTCGGAACTTTCGTTATTATTTGGAACATATCACCCCGATCTGAGTTATACCTCATAACATATAAATTGTTCTGTCTAAGAATTAGGTATCTGAATGCGAAATTGTAATTGCTATAATTGAATCTAAAGCAGCATTTGTGTGTGTCTTTCATTAAATGTGAAAAATATAACTAAAACTGCTAGAATTTAGCACAACGTTTGTCAGCTTTTAACAACTAGCAATGAGCCATTATTTCGCTGAAACTCAACGAAACCACAAAGCTTTAAAATATTTTCACGAGCATTATTGGCACCGATTTTATGTGAGAATAACCGTTATCCTTCCCGAAAAGTGTTATGTGTCAGATATTACTGACAGTTTTCCTTTTTACTGTTTCGACAAGATAAAAAAGTCAGTTGAAATGGCTAAGGGCTAATTTAACTCTATCCAGATAGATGAGCTCCATAAAAAGTTTTCAGATTGGTTTTTGATTTATATCCATTGGCGGCAGTTGTGTTTCCAGTTTCCAGTAGTAACGCTTCACTCAATTCTTTAAACGATGTTCAGTGTTGTAGCGCTTTTATTAACCGAAAAATAGTGTTTAAATTGCAACTGTGTGGTGTTATTTTTTCGAAGGCTGACAATTTTTTTACTAGAGATAAGTTTGTATCTCTAGTATATGTAATTGTATTTTAATTGAACAGACGTATCCCCAAATTACCGTTCAAAGTTGGGGTGCTCCAAATGGAACCCCACTGCTAGAGAGTCATCATTGATCGATTTATCAAACTAGGCTTGATGCCACACATGTTTTCCGGAAATGATAAGAAATTATGACCGTTGTCTTTTATACAGCAGGCACAACGTTTGCACAGAAAGTAAGAAAACTTTGTTCAACAAAAATGTTTATCAATGCGCACTCGTATGAGCTCATCTGTAGAAAGATAGACGGAAATGGGGTATGCCTGAGAATATTAATTATTACGTTTTCAATAATTTATGGACAACTACTCTTATTTATTGTGCTCCTGATGCACAACTTCTGTGACTGTTACTAAGTGCGGTGAAAGCTCGACATGCATTATGAGACATGATACCTAAGTAAAGCAATTGACTTAAAGTCTATAGTCTATAGAAGAAATAAAATGACGTTAAGAGGAAGTAACGAACGTTCACACAAGTAAATGTGTCAATATCCCAAATTTGTCTTAAATACCGGCAATTACGTTGGAATTAAGGAAATTAGCTATTGAAGAATCTATAAGAAACTTTACTCAACGTTTATCTCAAATTGCCCATAGACAGACAGAATGAAAGTATTCAGTGAAACACTTTAAAAATGTTCTATTTTATAGTAAATTAAGTTGCAAAATTAGTAAAATCCGACGTATATGATAACACCCCGACTTAATCCGTTAGAAAGAAAAGTTGATTTAGCGTGACCTTAAAATTAGTTAAGTAAGATAGACATCAACCATATGGTTGCTAGTTCTTTTATAGATTTGTTGAAAATTGACGTGATTGTCTGCAGGTGTTGTTGATTGTCAAGAAGGAGAGCGCAAAAACTACTTCAAACAACAGAGATTTTAAAAAGCCATATCTACCAACAATGTTTTTGGTGTGCAGAATTGATAAAATTGTAGGGATGTAGATCTGCTTCAATTATTACCTGCTATGGGGGTGCGACCTCGGATATGAGTTTAGCATTCAACAATTCCTGCATTCAGTTGCAGCAACTTTCACTTTCTCAGAAAACTGATGTTGGTGTTACACCACATGCTGCTCTATTATGTTGAAGATTTGTCAAATTTAAAGTATTCCCATGGAATATAATTCATTGAAAGGGACTTTGTATGTTTTGAAAAGAACAAATTATTTAAGAACTGTTCACAGATGAGTCCCAGAGGCAGCTAAATAAAATTGTTTATTTAAAAGTGATTTATGTGACCCACTAAGTACATGAGTTTTATCATAGAAATGCACAATTTGCTACAGAACAGATGAACTTTGCAACATAACCGCACTTCGCAACATCAGTTTTCGTTGTTTATAGGAACACAACTTTGACTTTCTACATTTATATGTAAAAAAGAAACGCATTTGGTAAAAATGGATAGAGTTATTAAGCAGTAGGCAATTTTCTGTTTATCAAAAATCAGTTCTTATGATTGCATTTCTAAAGTGTTAAATCAACAAAGATCTTATGCTCCACAAGAAACGTTATTTTTTTGAATATTCGTTATTGAACCATAAAAACGTTGAAATGCATGTTTGTTGACAAATATCCCACTAACTTGGTTGTCGCTATATTTTATAACAAAAGAATTAATAGTAACATTATTTTTTTCAAATAGAAAATTTGCGTCAGTTTATGCAAATTTGGCGTGTTTTTTTCTTGTAATATTCAGCTGTACCAGTGGTTGGCCAAATGACTATCGTTATTCCAGCATCTTGAAAAGCTAGTACCTTTCAGAAGTATAGTCTATATTTTTGCTAAATAATTGTTTCCTTAAAAAAGTAATCCCGACAATGCGTTTAGGATTGGGATTCTCCTTCATAAGGATGAAACCGATTAATCGGATATTCTACCAGCAGTAGGAATTGGACATTTTCTTAGTCTAAGTGGTTGTTGATCTTCAAAACAGAAGAAGTAAATGATCTGAGATATAAATTAAAAATTGTTCCCACTTAAAATTTTTTAAACTGTTATTTGAAATTGTCAGTTTGCAGTTTGTGTTTAGGACAATAATACTAGAATAGTATGAAAATTCATCATTCATTGATGTTTCCAAGTGGCATAGCAAACAGAAAAATTAGTAGAAATACTACTTCAAAAGCTGTTCTCAGAATTTCGAATTTCTTAGCGGATGAGCGACCACATTGACCTACATCATACATTTAGTAATCCAAACTAGAGACATAAATCGGAAAAAGATTAAACCTGATATTTTGTCTTTAATGATTAAATTTATCTTCAGTCGATTTGTTATGTTAAATGACCACCAAACACGATTTGAATGGATGAAAGAATCCCTTTAAACAAACGACGTGTTAGCTATAACTTCATAAAAATTGTAATTGTAAGAGATCTTAGAACATTTAATTAATTAAAATACCCGAAACCTACACCATAAAGTTAGCATTGTAGTAATCATTGACTTTTAATGGCGTACACGCACCCAATTAAACCCAGAAAAAGGAAGTAAAATTAGGGAGCTTAAAATGTGTGAATCGTTTGTGAAATGGAAACATTTCTGCCTGGTCTAGCTTTCTGAAGAACCGCGGCGCGGTTAGAAGCGTCAACATGTCCAATAAATCAAAGCTAAAAACAGGCAGGCAGAAAACGATCGACGCGCCAGCGGAACGATTCAGAAATAACTGCCAGATTATTATCTTGGCAAGTGGCCCTCCCGACATGAGAAATACTAAAAAAGAATTCATTCATAATTCAATGGAAAGGATTTTTTAAGCTTTGATTTGTTATTTCAGGCTCTTTGTTATCGTTGGCCTATTCGGTCTGTTATGGTTCCATTAAGATATCGCAGCACGTGTTTATAGAGAAATCAGGAAATATTTCCAGTTAGATAATTGGATCTTTTATTTGTAAAAGGTGCTAAGTCTATAAATGAGATTGTGTTTTCGGATCTCGTTTTCCTTTAAATGTATGTCGATTATTTGGAGAATTGAGGAAGTCTGTTTCAAAGCTGCGAATCGTTTAACTACCCATACATTTCCGTCCTAACCAACCAATCGTATCGGAAGTTGGTGTTTCACGTTCGTCAAATTGTTTCGGATAAATAATTCAGTGGTAGAAATGTGAACACTTCCTCTAAAATAATATGTGCATATAGGACAAATTAAATTGGAATAGCATTTTGAACAAAATGTTAATTACTTTAATTATCTTCTATACCAAAAATTTTTCTTTTGCCAGATAGTTCAAAGCCGTTTTGAAACCAAAAATACAATTAGGCACTGCAAGTCTAAATTGTGGTAAATGTCTGCAACCTTACAATAACGTTTTAAAAGCTTCACAATTTTAAAACTGATTTTGATGTTAAGTGTTTTGCATTTACTTAGTCTTGAGTTCTAATTCACCTGTTTTTCAACGACTATTTCAGAATTGTTAAACGCTGAACAACATGATTGCAAAACTGACTAGCTGTTTGCAGATAACTTTATTAGAATACAAACAACAACTAGAGAACTTACTTCATATTGCAGCCGCATTAATGGAGTAATTAGTTGCCAAAATCTGATGCGCAAATGTGGCTTTCACGACTATTTAAAATAGCTGATTTCAAACAAGATTCATATATTTTTTTAACGAATCAGATCTCATTAAATACTAACATTTATATGGACGACAGCAAATGTAAACAGCGTTTCAACTATTTTTATTCCAACGTGAAGCTAAAACTTAGAGTGGAAATGAAAAGTTGTTCATGAAAAACAGTTGTTATCCCTTTAATGCACACTCTGGCAAAAGACGCGATGTTGATAACTTTCATTTATTATAAAAATAATAGAAATATCCAATCAATCGAATGATTGATGATGACATATTATTTCAAAATTGGTTTCGATGCATAAATGCATCAAAATGCATCATTAGCTGTATTTCTTTTCTTTGTTTAATAAACATTAAGATGTATAAACAAGAAAAGTCTGTCATTAATTTATTAAGGCGACTCCGTTATAATAAGCTCACAACGTCATAAATTCGTTCAATTTACTAAGAAACCGAAAAGGAAATCGGACGCTCACTTTGCAATGCAAATTCGCATCGTAAATATTAAGAGAAAAGAACGAAATAATTTAAGCAAGCAACTGCATCAGCAACGGAGCGAGGTTTACATTACTTTGACTTCATTACTTGCGGCCAGCATAACTTAGAGAACACTTAGTTCAGAATTATTTTTAACGAGAGTTTTTTTTAATTGCAATTTTGTTTGTTGCAGTGACGACTCCACCCCTGGCGCGATTCGTATACCTGGAATTGTCACGGAGTTGGATACCCTGAAAAATAACGGGTCAACAGAAGAAGGCCAAGACCCCCAAATGAAGAGGTACCTGCTATGTCCGGGCATGTGCCGCATCGAGGTGCTGAAAAAGTTCATCAGAAATAAGTACAATGTGGATACCAACCAATTTTTTGTGAGTATCATTTATTTTTTAAAACATCAGCTACCGATTACTAGAACTAAAAAGTGAACATTTTTAACTTAGAAGATGCATAATCAGGCAAATATTGCCTCCGTACACGAACAAAAAAACAGCTAATTTATTCAATTTGTGTGCTCTAATAATATATTTTCAAAATTCAGAATAGTTCCATCGTATTTATACAATAATATTTTCTGGTTGTTTTATTACAAATAATCAGGAAAATTAAAAGGAAAGAAACTTCTTATGTCCAACCGTTCAAATATGTTGTATTTAATACTAATGCAAGCGGCCTTTCTTCTTTACCGTCATGGTCAGTCCGGGCTTTTGAAAATACATTGGCAAATAACCAGATTAAGAGAAACGTTCCGAGAAGCATTCATCTCATACCAACTGCTGCTTTGGGTCCGAACATTTAAGGTTTTTTCCTTTCAGAATCGCTGGCTATTTCAGAATAGTTATTATTCTATGCATTTCTATTCTATTCTATTTTTTCTATTATTATTCTATGGACTATCTATGAAGAGAATCTGCTTTAAATTCGAACAAACATCCACTTTTGCTTCTTTTTTGTGTGAACTAACAAGTTTGGAAATTGTGGCTTTAAAGGGTTGTTTATTCATGTGTGTCTTGTAAGTTTTCGTATTTCGAGAGTTTCAGTATTTTGCAACCTGACAATTTAGAAGGTTGGTTTGCACGCAGTTTAAAAGCCATCAAACGGCTCTATATCCGAACAACCGCACAGGTTTGCGTCTTTCTTCTGTTAACAAAACGATGTTGTTTTGTATGATTTACGAGCCTTGATTGTGAGGAATAAGTTACTTTTCACTTAGTTAATACTTGTTTTGAACTGTCTTCCCGAGAAGAAGATTTCAATTATTTGGTATTTATGAATTAAATGAAAAATTACATACATTTTTCAATATTCGTTTTTATATTTTTGTAACACCATTGCACTGATAAAATAGTATCACATTCATCTTACTACAATACGTACTTCAAAAGCAAATTTCCCGAGTTACTTATAATTGTAGGTCCGTATTGAATATGATATTTTTCTTGACAATTATACAGGATGATAAAAAATTAATTGAAAACAGTCAGATAATGGACTTATATAATAAATAAATAGATGGACTTTTCTGATTTTGTCATTTCAATGGAGGGAAAATACTGTTTTTGTAATAGTTTTGGCTTATTTAACTGACATCGTGGCTATAATAATGAAGCACTTAGGAATTGTGTACACTTGATGAAACACCCTGTATATTAATTAGTGCGTGATATGATAAAATTGCCAATAATGCAGCCTTGAATTTTACGTTTTTTATTTGTTGCAGATTGATGTTTTGTACAAGAGAGTGCCGTTACCTGATCACTACACTCTGATAGATATAGCTTATATCTACTCGTGGCAACGGGTAAGCAGCATTTTTGCAACTGTTTTTACGTAACTGAAAATTTTGCTGAATCAGTAGTTTCAACTTAAACAGCGTAACACGTATGTATAGGGATTAAGCGGGGAGATTCAAAATTGGCGCGTACATCCGTCTAAGAGGTAATTGCATTAGATAGTTCGAAACGGATATAAAAAAAACATTTCTTGTTTATTGCTAGACTAAATTAACTGATAAATACCAGCTAGATTTCATGTTTATTTTAAATTGAATTTGCTTAGATCTGTTTTAAAATGGTGTTAAAGTAATGTTTTATTTCACTTTCTTTGTCATGAAGAATCATGACGATCATGCGAGAAAATAACGCAAACAGATCGAATTGAAAATCACCACAATATATCCCTAATCTACGTTATTTCTGGGTCGTTAATATACAGGAAGGCCTGCCGCATTTGAGACTTTTGTCCGTGCAAAAACGAATAGCAATTTCGTATCCAATTTTCCATTATTTTCTTCTCATTTTAAAAATGTTCTAGTTTCAACTAAACAGAGACCCCTAAAAATTTTAAAGTGTTTTTTTTTTAATGAAACACCCTAAACATATTTTATTAAATTACCTATGGAAGTCTGCAGAATATATAAAATAAAGTTTCGATTACGCGTAATATAGGAAATGTTAATCCTTTTTGATATAATGTGGAAAAATGAAAAAACAAAGCAAAATAAAAAAAAATGAGCTGCGTAATTTATCACATTACTAAAAGGCTTTTTACTACGTCCGGAAACCTATGTTTCAGAATTAAATATATTTTGACTCAAATTTTGGGAAAAACACTATATTTTTACACTGTCAGGCGTACCTAGTTATACCTACTCAAATTTTTAAAAACTTTAAAAATCTTGGTTTTCCAAAACATTCAGATTTGTTGCATGAATCATAAAAGCCTTAATAGCAACTCATATTTAAAGAAAAAATCAATGTAGTGTTAATTAGTAAGTGAATTGTTGTCAAAATGAGAGTTTATTCTACAGCGGAAGCATGATCATGTGAGCGTATGTTTAGAAAATTGCATATTTGCATTAAAAGTTTATCGCGCAGCAATTTCATGACCGCACTTACCCAAATAAAAACGTGTTCGAAAGAGTCCTCAGAACTTGTAGGTCCAAGAGATTAGAGGCGTGGAGATCAGTCGGATCAGTACAGGAACAACCCAGTAGTCGAACATAAAGGAAAGCGATTTAAAGTACTTAATAACTTCATTAATAGAATATTCTCATCAAAGGCATATAAACATACGCACATGAGCATGATCGGCGGGATAAGTGTTTGGAAAATAAATAAAAGATTCATACATAATAAATTCAGTTACATCAAGAGTTATACGATCGGGATTTGGAACATGGAAAGAAAACATTAAAAGTTCATTCCGGTCCAAAAATAAAAGTGCGTTATGGTGGGAACGATACCACGGACTACAGATCACGCGTAAAGTTTTGAACAATTTTGAAAAACGGATATTTGTATGCTTGTATCAGGAATGAAGACATTTTCAACCCTTAATTCATTAGTCGAGTGTTTAGATGATCCTATTTACTTAATTATTCCAGTTATTGAAATTATTAATATTTTTCATGTGTGAATATCAATTTAAAGCTATTTTTGATAAGTTTGAACTTACTGACCTAATGTGAGGTATTTGTTAATTGTTAATTGTAAGAATTTTAATATTTGTGCACCAAATCGCAATTATCTAGGTAGCAGTTGATTTTTGAACTCTGATCTTTTATAATACTCTCAAGCAAGGGATAAAAATTTTCCATCTATCTATTAAGCAATTTTAAAATAAAATATATCCAAGATACACTTTTAAATGATGCATTTAATAACGGCAAAGAAATACTGGATGGGTAAACAGTAACACATTTTATAGGTTACAAATTAAATTAAATCCCAATACTTATCGCATTTTTTCCGGGTTCCCATAACATCCAGGAAGGGAAATCGTGCCTGGTATTAAATTCAGTTACAGCCTGCAATTATTAGTGAATCGGCACTAAACATATTTTTTAATTTCTCTCTATTGCCAGTAATTTTTAACGGAAAATATTATTTCCGTATCCCCAAACATTCCTCTTCAGCTTCTCCATTGATCGTATATGCAAGCAAGCAATACTTTTTTAAAAAGTGGCTTTTAACATCATACTGAATTGTAGACAAAGATAGAGGTTTATTTGCATACATTATGCAATTAAATCATAACGTAATCGGAACTTGTATCGAACGATGTATGAAACTAAGTATAATTTCTAGTTGAATAACATGGAAGACTGTTACTTTAACATAAAATAAATTTCTCATTAACGTGTATTTTGTTTGTTGCAGAATGAGTTGATGAAATTTTTCTTCCGGATAATCGACCACAACAAACCAAAACCGACCGACAATCCGGCGACGGTATTAGCTGTACCGCAATTCACTTTGCGGCATTCGCGGAAGACGAAGAGCACTGGGGAACGTACAAAAAGATACTCTCAGTATCTCAGTAAGAAATCTCATCGTAAAACAATTGGTAAAGTGAGTAATAGCAGTTCTAAAGCTCCTGACGAACATGAAATTAAAAAGGAGATAAAGTTTGACAACGGAAATAATGATTTCGCTGTGGTTCAAGGCTGTGATGATGCTAAAGTGAACCCTGTTGAGTCTGATGCACTAGGTGTCAGAGAATTCCAGTCTAGGGCAAGCCCTACCAAAGAAAAAGTAAAGCAAGAAAAACATGGCGACGAAAGGCATGCGAATGCTGCTGTTATTGACCGTAACAATGCGGCTGTAGTTAATAAGACTGACAAAGAAAATTATTTAAGTAATAGAGTTCCTAAAGGTGAAGTATTCGGTGGTAAACCAGACATAGTTACCACAAATACTTTATCTGGTAATATTAATAGTTTAGTGTCGAAAGTTGAAAATATTGGAAGTAAAAATATTGCTTTGAGAAAAAGCATGGCATCACATAAGCATATTTTTGAAGAGTCCTCAGTTACGGTAAAAAAGGAGCCAGAGTTTGAAGAAACAGATAATAACAAATTTGTATTTAAAATTTCCCGTGAGTATTTGGATGACTCGAATAGAGATTCTTCACAAAGTCAAGTGATTTCAAAACCTGTAACAAAAAGTTATACAAGCATAACGCTAAATCGCAGCGAAAATGTTGAAATTATCACTGAAATCGAGCCGGTTTCTAACAGAAATGGCAAATCGATTGGACATCATATCATCAAGCAGACCATTAAGAAAGGCTCCAAAGTAAAATCGTCCAATAGTCCTAAAAAATCACCCATTGCTAAATTACGCATAACTAAAAGCCCTGTAGCTAAGAAATCGACTGCAAAGCGCGGAAGTAAACAAGCCATTTCTGACACCCCAGCCGCTATATCAGAAGCACCAAAAATAGAATCTGCCCAAGCTAGCTCAAGTGCTTCGACTAGTCAAGTTCTAGAATCACATTCCAACAGCGACAACAGCCGCAAACAACTTCAGCTTCATTTGAGTGATGAACAGTTCAACTTCTTCGGATATCTGAATTTATTTCCGAAGGCCAGTCGCGAAAAAACAACAGAAAATGTGCTACAACCGTCGTCAACTTTGATTAAGAACGAGACGACTGAGCCAACAACGTCAGCAGAGCCAACCAACCAGCAGCCGAAAAAGCAAATCATTATTTCGAGATTAAGTCACGGGCAGAAACGAAAAAGCACCAGCCCAGTAAAAGCTGATAGATCTAAAGTTCTCAATCTTGACACAAAGAAAGCTATCCAGCTATTTTTACAAGGTAAATCACCCTCTCCATCGACTTCTGACAATGATGAAGGTTTGCAGTCGTTAATAAATACCTGTAAAATTCCATCTTCACTCTCCATTACCATTAAACAGAGTTCGGAAGGCGACAGCTCACCAGTTATTGTCCCACCAGTGAAAAACTACATCGAGATATTGAAACTTCCTGACGAGCTTTCAAATAGCGATAAATCGAATATCTCCGAAAAAGACAAGTCGAATGAACCAGCAAAATTAGATTTAAGTAAGTTTTGTGATAATGACAGTGAGCAAAAAGTGGACGAAGACATTTCTGAGATAGCAAAAAGTTTGACCGAAAAGATTCCGATGTCCACAACGATTTCCGAGATAGTAGCACCAAAACCAAATTTCGAGATTCCCGTAAAAACCAACATTCCTTCCAAAGTCCCTATTCAACCAACCCCGGTACCTGAAGTGAACAAAGCTTTGGGGTTGACAACATCATCAAAAGATCCACTGTCCCAGTCGAAACCGCGTTCATCGCAAACTTTTCAGAAGATTTTTGAGGAGTCGCTGAAAAAACCCGGCGATTGTTCCAAAGTGGCCACCATTGAGCTTTCGACAAGCGAGGAGTCAGATTCTTCCGGCACGGCGACAAATCAAACAAGTGGCAAGCGAAAAATTCTTGAACTTGCTTCACAGCTGGCTAAAACGACGAAGCTTGATCCGGAGCCAAACAGCAATGCCTCCTCAATGCCTAAAGTGCAAATTCCGCGTTTGTCAAGTTGGCGCCATCACAAAACGTTGAAACATCAACCTGGAAGCTCAATGGTTGCTCAAACTGTTGCCAGTTTACATTCATCTAGTCTAGGAATGAACTATACTGTATCGGTTGGCCCACAGAACACTTCCAAAGTACTCAAAGCTAGCGGCATAGTATCGCCAGTGAAAACAAATTCAGTGCCAGCGGCACCGGAACAGGAACCATCCGACTTGAGTGAAGGTAAATTGGCAAATGTGGATTTTAAAGTGCCATCGCCTAGTCTATCTTCTCCTAAGTTACCAGACGCAGCTGGTAGTGGCTGTTCAACTGCTACACCCAAAACCTCCTCCCCTAAACACTCACCGAAGTCATCACCTCTCATAAAACATATGTATGCGTCTGCTTTCAACCAAAGAGTCCCATCTCCGAAGAGTCGGTTTTCTTCTAATAAAAACAGGGTATTAAAACCCAAATCGTCAAGTACATCTCCTAAGCCATCAACATCAGTTCCTAGTGCAAAATCGCCTGCACCAATATTGCCAATTTCCACCGAAAGTGATAATCCAGCTGCCATAATCGGTGCTAATGAAATTGTTGATCAGTACACCACGCAAGTTTTAAAAAATAATATTAACCTGGATCCCGTTCTCGCCGGTAAACAGCTGGCCGCTTTTCAGCATGCGTTCTTGCTGAATCAAATTGAAATGCGACATAGACAAAATTGGTATAATCGAAATCAGGGACATCTGTTACAGTACGAAAAATATTTGCAGAGTATGAACGGTGGCATAAATGGGACGCAAGGCCAAACTTGAAAACGTTTAAACTATTGTCGATATCGGCTCACAGGGTTAAATTATTCGAAATAGTTCATAGGAGTTAATTTGATGTTCGGTACCTACTATATGTTTGTGCGTTACTTACAATGCATCGCTCGTACCTTGGCTACTAAATTTTGATGATATCTCAGGATTGGCCAGTGAAAAGTTGTCATCCCGATTTTTTCAGTTGTTGCGTAAGAGCGCAGATAACGCGTCAATTGATTACGTTGATTTGATCATGTTGTTTTAAGAGGGAGAATAGTTCGCTAGTGTCAACACTGAGACTTCAACTTAATCAGACGGGATGAGTGATACCCCATTTCAGAGGTAGCTTTAATTATACTCTATACACGCATGAAGTCTCTCTTATCATTCCCGTTGCTTTGAGAGCTCGTCAAAATCTTAAGAAATGTAGAGACTTGCAGTTAAGAACTATTTATTCGAACCTTCGCTGCAGTTATCCGTTCTTGTAGAACGGGGACAGAAGCTTTAAGTGCTTAATAAAATATAGTATTTAAATGATAACCTATAAAACGAAATCCAAGCAATAAAGACTAGATCGGAGCCTTTAGCCCCCTCCAATGATCGCTAAAAGTGGAGTTTGAAAAGGAATTGACGAACTAAAGCTAGAAAAGGTGATGTATTTTCATCGTGTTGAAGAAGCGCATCTTGTGGCATCTCGGCTAATCACGTCCCTGATTTTATTTGCAATTTATAGTTTTTTATTTTTTAAACATTTTTACGAGCTGCCTAAAGTCCAAAAAATGTGCTTAAAAAAATTTACGTTTTCGAAAGTTTACTGGGTTTTTACGCAACAACTGAGAAAATCGGTATGGAAACTTTTCATTGGTCCTCTTTCACATAAAGTACATCAATTTTATTCCCCATTAACTTTTTGAATGGCTTATGCGTATTTCCTTCTACATCGGGTGCGAAAATTTATAGCTTATAAAATCAGATTGAGACGTTACATATACAGTGCGTCCTATAATGAATGATGTTACCTTCAAATCTAAGGCAAATTTATTGACGATGAACTTCGAAACGTTCATTTCAGGGCATATTATTGACTTTTTGTAATTTCATAATTTATTACACTACAAAAATTACATTTTTGGTTGTAAATTCTTCCTAGGTAAACAGTTCTGTGAATTGCATAACGTTTAAATATGCGACGGTCTTGATATTCTTCTATTGTACAGTAAAGTCGAGTCTTTGACTACGTACTAACAGGGCCCCAATTTTCGAGTTCAAGAGAACGGGAACGTTCACATCGCTGATGTGATCGCTCCCTGGCTCAGCCTTTCTCCTATAGTAAGTACTACACTGGATGAGATCACTCGATTACTTTCGGGAATACATTTATTTGCGCAGGAAATGTATTGTAAATTGGCCATCCCATCACTTGTAAATTCTAACCAAAGTCAATTGAGACGGTATAAAAAATACAGTCGGTTAACAGTCTTTGTGCACCTCGTACGGCCTTTGCAATTTAAGCACACCGCCGACTGTTTACAGGTTGGATTATTTATACCGTTTCAGTTATCTTTGCATAGGGTTTCCACAGTAGCTGCAATATATGGGCACTAGATTAAATTGTAAATTATATATAAATACTAAACCCTCTATTGTTTTGTTCAATTTCAATGAGAAATGGGAGTGGGTGTTACGAATGTAGCAAAAGTGAGTCGTTCACGAAGAACCAAGGTACGAGATGTGTCGTTGTTACGTAAAACTTTCAGTCATTTTTTTCGTAATGAATGCCATTAAGTGATAATCAACCATCAAGTTTATTTAAACGGTCACAAGCGAATGATTGAGAAATCTAAATTTTACTGGACCTTCAAAATATTTATTTCAAAATTTTAAATCTCTATTCCAATTTGTAAGCATCCAATTATGCCGTTGTAATAGGTTTAATTACGCATTTTTCCCAAAGGGGGAAGAAATATCTCCATTAGAAATACGAACACCGATTACCTCGTATTCTCAATATTCCCTACATGTTCTAACTGTATACCAATTTCAAATTCTATTTGAAGTCTCTCAGGGATCATGTATAAAGCTAAAAAATTGCAGTATATAGTTTCTAATGATACAAATACAAACTGTCTATAAATCTTGGCCTAATCTAAGGAATAGTCAAAGTAGCGTGAGTGACTTGTTTAAATGTGTAAATAAATATTTATATAAGGATGTGTAATAATGATATTTGTAATGTACAGTTAATTTTGTAATTGCTACTAATTGTAAAGTTATTGTAGTACTGAATGTTAAGGAGAATTGGGCTTCTAGGAAATGAATAAGGAGGGTATTTTAAGTAGGAAATGTTTAGGCGTTTTGGCAACGTTTATTTGTTTTTGTGTTGTTCAACTTCCCCTTTACACATTTTGCCTGAAACTGTAATAAAACGCAGTCAATAAAAAGAATCATTAAAAATAAAAGAGGCATTTCTAAAATAACCTCAAGTTTGCAACATTAAATTTAATCGGTAGAGCATTATCTCTGACCCGAGAGGGCGTTTGAGAGTGTGGGCTTTTAAAACGGAGCAATTTATTCATGAAATTAATATTGTGCTTTATTGCATTAACATCAACAGTTATGTTGTTTTATTTAGTAATTCTAAAATTCAATGATGTTTGGTGGCATCAATAATTTTATTTTAATTATGAAACTCCACATGACATTGAGAATTAAAACGACATTTTGCTCGAAACTGAAAATCTCTCTGAAGAAGGCCCCATTTATAAACTTGACGTTTGCGTTCGCCGTTACCGTTTGCGTTCCATGCCGCTCGATATTAACCAATTTCACTTCTTGCCGGTGAACGTTCGTAGAACAGCCGTAGTACTGACGTACCAACCAATACCAATTCAGTATTTGGTCGGACCAAATCAGCTGATTGAAAACATTCAATAACAACAAGATAGATCTTAGGTTAAAAAATCAACTGACAGCAAACGGTAACGGCAAGTATGTAAATCGCCTTTTGTAGCGCAAACGGCAACGGTAACGGCAACGTCAAGTTTATAAATGGGTTTTACTCTCTCTAATTACTTTAGGATATTCTACCGTATATTATTTACAGCCCTTAGCATACATACATTTAAGCAAATGAGTGCCAAACCTAAAACAACGCCTAGGAGTCTAAGGAAACGAATGCAAAATAAAGATTGATTAATTTCATGCCAGTTTATTAGGAATTCTTGTTAATCGGCATAGATTTAGGTAGGTGGAATTCCTGAAATACTCAGTAAAGCAGCTCATGTAAATACGATGTAGTTTTACAGTAAATTTTAGAAACAACACATTATTTGATTTTAATGGAAATTTAAATTCAATTTGTAAATTTTGTTTTTTGTTTAACTAGTGTTTAAACTTATCTGTTATGTTAATTTTAAATTGTTGTTACTTTAAGTTATCCTTGTATCATATTAGTGTAATTAGTTCATTATTAAGGAGTTGTAAAATATTATTTTCCAATTTTCATTATAAAATTTTGAAAATTTTTTACATTTGTTTCATTTATCATTACTATCACCGATATTAGTTTTCATCATTCTCACTCCAATTAAAAATAAAGTAAGTATGTGTGGGTATAAAGTAAGTAGGTATGTCGGATAGTCGACCTGCCGAATACAGTCAGGGATCGATTATGTGGGCAATACACATGTTAGATTAGAGGCAAAGTCGACGAATTTAGGCGAGCGGGTTTTGCAATAAGTTCAGCTTTCAGTTTTTCAGCCGCCAATCGCATGCCGTTGATTTAAATAAGCGCAATCCACGTGACGTTAACACAATAATTACAATAATTTGATCATTACTCTTGGCTAACCAGAGCTTCTCATTAAATATGTCCATACATTAGTGATAGTTCTATTTTAATCAATAATTATATTTAATCATTTTCATTCTCAACTAGGAAAAGCCTTTTAGTCTATTCGAATTTCAATCACTTTTACAGACATTCTGATCACTTTTTTTATTGTGCCCCAATCGTTCGGCCAATAGACCAATAGTCAACAGAATTTGATGAAAATTTATGAATTTCATTTAGGTGAAAATAATATACTGTTACAACAAATCTGGTTTAAACATAAATTTTTGATTCAAGTTAAGGCTGACCTGAAGCTCTCGTCTATCAAGCGCACCTTTCCAGCAAATTATATAATTATAATAGATCCAAGCTCATGGTCAAACTTATTTACGTTTTAAATTCGGTAAGTATATTTTTAGAATCCGAGTAGTTTGTTTCCGGACCAAGCAATAGACGCGTGCAAAAAGTCTGTATTCATATTTATAAAAGTTGAGTTTTAAACTACATTTAATTTTATACTATCTAATAACAAGTTAACATTATTCAAACTTGCACGCATCTGAGGAACAAAAAGAGGCAAAAAAAATATCTGAAACGGTTCCGAGAAATGTTCTCGTGTTACTTGTATTTTTCCGCATATTGTACACCCTGTTTGCACGATCTTGCTTGCTGGAAAAGCGATGTCATGTTGCCGCTGATATCGAAATTCCCTTCATCTTCTTATTTTAAATGAACCACCCTGTCCATATCTGCAGGGTTATTCACGCTATACGACACGGACGTTTGCGGCTAGCCCGTTTGTTTCTTGCAAAGTATTATTTGATGGATCCACAGACGCGTATCGGCTGCACATTTTAAACATAATTTTGTAATGTACAGAGTGTCCCAAAAGCCCTAAAAGTATCAAAGTTGTGTGTTTCCAAAACCCTATATATTATTGCATTTTTGGATTATCTGAGCAAAATAAGTGTTTGTTTTAATAAGATTTATAATGTCTAAATCTAAAGGTTTTTTGAATAATTCGAATTTTATCAAAATCTAATATTATTTTCATGTGTCAAATACTTTAGAATTATTTAAGTTATGTAAACGTAATTCGTAATGTAGTGTAACAAAAAATCATATTTTATATCTCAATGATAATAAACTTACCATTTTATACAGGGTGTCTACAAATTTAAACTAATCAAATAAGAACTTTAAGTAGCTATAACTTGATTAATATAAATACAACCCCATATTT